AATGAACGGCAGTTGCAAGGTATGTATTATCAATGCGGCCGTTAGCGTCGCACTGCAGGCTCAAAGAAAAGACTTCGAAGCTAGGCTAGAGCAGCTTACAAACCAATTTCAGTCCACAGCAGCCAATAAAAATTATAGACGGGGTCGAATGTCACGAAGGCCTGGATGCAGTTAAGTCACTCCCAGAGTTCGATGGATCACAACAACAATATGTGTCCGGGCGGCAGGCAGCAATGGCCGCATATGATATTTTCAAAGCCCACGTGGGCAGTTCAAACACTACCAAGTTGTCCTTATAATTCGCAACAGAATTAGGGGATCGGCTCATGCAGTTTTAGCTATTATTAGTCGTCTAGATTTTACCATTACATCTACTTGAACAAGAGCTCTCTACGCTTAGATAGGGTTCATTGTCAGTCATTCAATTTTACCAGGAGGTTGAAAAAAAACTCACACTCCTTACCAATAAAACCACAATGACTTTTGATACCGAATAAGCGCGGTACATGAACGACAATCACAGGGCCGACGCAATGTGCGTATTTGTCTCAGGACTAAAGTGAAACCTTACGGATGTTCTCTTAATGGAACAACCCAGAAACTTGCCCTCGGCCCTTGCAATGGTCCAGAAGATCGAGTCAAATCACGACAGACACACATTTGCGACCCAATATGCAAGGTCACTAGAAGAAAAGAACTTGAGACAATCTCAAGGCCGACCTCAACAGAGGCAATCTGACATTCAGTATAGGACAGGAAAAAACCCCTATTTTACTAGAGAACAAAGAACTCATTCTCCAAAAAGCGACCAGATAGAGAAAATAACCGTTGACCCGTCCTCTAGATTCCGTCAAAACACCGGTTTTCAACGACAGCTAGTTCAAAGCCAAGTTGCGCACAGCAATAATAAGCCACTAAATGCATTCAAACGACCTGTAAACTCTCAAAGAACGTCTGATCAAAGACGCCAGAAGATAAATTATTTGACGCAAAGAAAAATGAAGTATCCCAATACTAAAACCAAAACGATCAAGCTGCTTATAATGCAACGGCAAAAATAGAAGCTGAAAACAAAGCTGGTTATGAAGCAAGCGCTCTTTTTTAGCGGAGAATCCCTGCTCCCTTTTATCCAGCGAACAGTAGCAAGGAAATCATTGAAATTCTTAATCGACACTAGAGCATCGAAAAGTTATATAACCCCAAACGTATGCCTTCTAGCCTCCGTTCCGGAACAAATCCCGTTTGTCAAATCAATTCACGGCTTTAATAAAATCGAAAATAAAAGCTTCAAAGAATAGTCCTTTTTTCCCCATATGGGCTGTGGGCAAAAAGGGCACCGATCTCTTAGGTGTGCCTAATAAACGGTTGGTAGTAGATTTCAGAAAATTGAATTCCAAACTGTTGCGGACAAATACCCAATGCCGAGTATCAGTATGATCCTATCAAACCTTGAAAAAGCTCATTACGTCACTACGCCTGACTTGAAATCTGGGTACCATCAAATCGAGTTAGCAGAAAGTGACAGAGAAATGACATCCTTTTCAGTAAACGGAGGAAAATATGAATTTTGCCGTTTGCCTTTTGGTTTGAGAAATGCCTCTAGCATTTTTCAGCGAGCAATAGATGATGTTCTATGGGACATGATTGGAAAAACGTGCTATGTCTACATCGATGACGTCATAGTGTTCTAAGAGAATGAAAGAGACCACTTACAACATGTCGGTCAAGTATTGAAGAGGCTTTACAACAGAATTCTTAGGCTTTTTCGTCACAAAAGAGGGTACAAAAACTAGCCCAGATAAAGTAAAGGTAATTTGAGATTTCAAGCAACCAAGCAGCTTGTTGGAATTAAGATCCTTCATAGGTCTTGCTGGGTACTACAGATGCTTTATCAAAGATTTCGCTGCAATAGCAAGACCTTTAACAAACCTTTAACAAACCAAACCCTAACTCCAAAATTAAACGCTGGAAAGCACGAATTGAAGAGAGTGGCGCTAAAGTATTTTATAAGCCAGGAAAAGAGAATTATGTGGCAGACGCCTTAACATGTGAAAACATTAACATCTTAGAATAATCGATACTATCCGACGCGGCGACAGCACACAGTGAAGTATCTCTAACTCATGTGATTGAGACTACGCACAACCCCTTGAATCGCAACGCGGACATTCATTTTATTTGGTGCAAAGATTCGTCATCCAATCATTTTTAACGACTGGGAGATACTCCTAACATTAATAAAAGAAGTAAGGCCGGACATAGTAAATGCGAATTGCCTGTCTTGGTACGCATTCAGGATGACTTGGTCAGGATTTCCCCCCACAAAATTCTGGCACTGTAAAAATATGGTAACAGACGTTGTGAATAAAGACGAGCAAAAGGAAATAGTAAGCAGAAGTGTGTGGAAAGGCGAAATATGACAAGCACCCGAAGAAACAAAAAATGGGTGTTACACCTATACCCTCACGTGTAGGAGAATTAATCCACATAGACATTTTTTCAACTGCAGGAAAACATTTCCTAACAGCAGTAGAAAAGTTTTCCAAGTTTGCCCTGGTTCAGCCAGTAGTATCACGCTCTATTATTGATGTAAAAGCGAGTTCTCTACAAGTAATAAATATTTTCCCCAAAATTAAAACCATATATTGCGATAACGAGCCGTCATTTAGCTCAGACACAATTCGATCACTGCTAAAAAGCCAGTATGACATTGACATAGTGAATGCACCACCGGTATATACTTGTAGTACGTCGAACGGACAGGTGGAAGGATTTCACAGTACCCTTGTGGAGATCGCCAGATGTCTTAAACTGCAAACAGTTGCTACACCAGTCGCTACCGCCGTAATCTGTGCCATCATCTCCATAATCACAATTAGATACTTACTGATGCGTCGGCGACGAAAGGAAACTTCGGAGGCTGTGCGGCGAGTACTGGAAAGGTCGGCTATGGCCGAGGGCGCCCATGTTTTGAAAGAGGGAGTAGTTAACTAAATCAGTTTCCTGAATTGCCAAAATTGCTGGATTTCTGTATGACCGGCAACTGCAATTCAATACATTACAGTAGCCGTCCACCGTGTGACCGTCAGGTGTAACTCAATACCTCGCACAGGTATTGAACTCAGCAGAAATATTAACGGCAGCAGCGGTAGTTTTAGTTGTAATAGTAGGTTATAAATAAGGGAAATGTAATTTTAATAAATAGAACGGAACTCAAATGGTGTTTATTTAAAATAACTAAAAGCAAGTGGGTAGTCCACAACACCGTCACTACCGCATAAATAGAATTATAACAAAAAATAAAAAACGAAGTAAAAATAGTAATTAAACTAGGTGAGTCTATGATCTATATCGTTAATAAGATACCGATTCTTGTATGCTTCCGCTGAATTTATTCGCAACATCTTTTGATAAGCTTTAATAAGTTTTGCATAAAATGTTTGATTACACCTGAACTTAGCACTTCCTTACTTGTTTTTTGTAATTTCAACTTTTCCTTGTTGTATGTGCGGAGATTCTTTTAAATTCCTTTCTTCGTGAATACATATCTGCACTCACATTTATAAGTTGTAAATATTTTACCTAGCTTTTGAGATTGGCAAAATTCTGAGGTTCGCACAATTCTATTCTTTCATCAGTCAGAATTTTAAATTTTCTACCGATTGGCACACAGACTAAATGCAATATATAAGAGTCTTTGAATATTCTCATTGGAAACATATCTAGAAGGGAGGACTGATAATTGTTCAAATTAGATTTGATTATTTGATTCCATATGTCCACAGTCTTTTAGCTTTATACATGCGTTTTTTGTTTTCCAGACAATGCCACAATTCCTTACAAAAGCTAATTGGATTCCATTAACAATTCTATGGTATGGTTCGAAGTCTCCATCGTTACTGATAAAAGTTTGAATAAGCATAAATGACGCAGCAAATTTCAGGAGTGAATAATGGTAAATGAAGCTAAGAAGATTTTGTAATTTTCACAACTCCTTTCATCGATCCCTATCTATTAAAAAATATATTCTTTTGTTGATATAGCAATGTATGATAGTTAATCTAACTATTATCTATATATAGTATCCAAAAACATTAATAGTTTTATTATTGGTGGTCAATTATTGAATCTAGAAGTTGCGGATTTTTAACTACCAGTAATTGTTTTTGGTAAACCTTGTAGTGATAAGACTAAATAAGTTATTAATTTTTACTCCAGCTTTAGATTCCTTGCCTTCCCTTTTTCAATTGACCTCACTAGTGTATTCCGGCTTAGTCCGAGTTATTTTCTGAACACCTTTTAGGCTCAATTTTAAGCACATTCTGCTACTGTTAGTGCATCCAGATGGCAACGTATCGGTACCGCCGACTTTTATAAACTTTATGACATTATTGAAGGATACTTAAAATTGTTTAAATTCGTAAATAACTCGTTTAACTACAATTAATTATATATTAAATTGTTATTAAACACCTATGTAAAACTACCTTATTTTGGGATTCAAGATATGTATCTGAGCCCCATCTACAAATGTAAACGCTGCGCAGAACAAGCTGTTGCTTCCAATTTTAAGCATATCATTAGTGCGCGTGCATTGCATAAAAATTGCGTTAAAAACATGAATCAATTCATTAACAAATTTAAATGAGCAGGTTTTCTGTTAAGAGAGCCAATAGATCTAAAAAAAAGTTGCTCATACGCCAGCGCATGCACGCACGTTCGCTAATCTATTGGTACGCACACGCTTCTCCTCACATATACCATGTGCAATTGTGCACGCGCAATGCTCGGCGCCAGGTGTGCACGCGTATAGACTCTGCGCGGCAGCGGCAGCGTCTGTCAACTGTTTTCGGCTTTTATGTCTTCTTCCGCCATTTCTTCAGCGACTTTTCAATAGGTACTTGTTTTTTCGTCGGCTTTTCATTCAGTTCATTGTGGGTATGCAGCTAAAATATGCAGTATAAAAATCGTGCACAATAGAAAAACGATTATTATTCGCAATTGTTCCTTCAACGAGGCGAGTAGCAACTGGAGGTCGCATACGACTTGAGCGGATCGAGCTAAATCATTTTAGTTTCACACATTTCACTTCGACCTGAATAAAACAAAACATGGCTTCGATGCTGTACTTCGTCCTCGTGGCGCTATTGGGCTTCACTGCTGTGGTTAATGCAGCTAATGCTGTACGACCAACGAACATGCAGGGCATGATTGATGAAGAGAATGCCAAATGTGAGAGTGGTGCTGATTCGATGGCCTGTATTAAGGTGCGCGCTATGCGGTTCCTGAACACAGTGATCAACAACGATAACTATAAAGTGAGTATGGTGAATTTAAAGTGGTGAAAAGGCATTAAGTGAGCATGACAAAGTAAAAAATTTACGACGTGGTAGAAGTTGTTGTGAAAGTGGTGTAAATTGTATGACACCCTTTGAGTGTTCAATTTTAAAGTTGTTAGAGAATAGATTAAAGAGTCAGAAACAAAAAACTTATTTATATTTATAATAGCTAGACTCAATATGGATAAAATAATCATGGTTTGCCACTCACCAGTAATTTAGAAAATTATAAGTTATTCCCACAAAATATTTACTAATTTTATTACTTCCTTAAATTTTAAACAGCTCGGCGATGTGGAGGTCCTATCCAATGGCTATCAGCCTGCTACAGCCGATGCCAATAGCGCACGCTCCAACGACGAAGAACGCGATTTAGTCGATGCTGTCGGCGATTACCTGCAGGGACACGATGTTACCATCGACTTGCCTCTGGGTGATGCCAAGGTCACCGTCTCTTCACGTAATTTGGCCAACGATGAGTTGAGCCTTAATGTGAAATTGGCCGGTGATGATGTGGTTGAGGGCAAGGGTAAGAAGAGCAACTTCTTCAAGAAGGGTGTGTGTTTGTATTTGCATGCGTTTTTGTCTACACTGACACCGGAACACAAAAGTGAAAAAAGCTAAATAATTAATTTTCTCTCTCTTTCTATCTCTTCCAATTCCCCCACTACCATCACCACTGAATGCATTCGTTCTCGTGCACGCATTCACACGTAAACACATCTAGGCAAGAAGCACCGTTTGCGTAAAATGATTATGCCATTGATGGTGCTGATCCTATTGAAGGCGATGACTGTCATCCCAATGGCCATTGGTATACTGAAAATTAAGGCATTCAATGCGTTGGCGTTGGGCTTCTTCTCATTCATTGTGTCGGTTGGTTTGGCCATTTTCCAATTGTGCAAGAAGGTAAGCCTAATCGGACATTTTCCTATTTTTCTTTGCGTTAATTCTAGGCTGTCGTGGGATGTTAATTACATTGGCATGATGTACTGCCCTAAAATCAGAAAAAACTCAAAAATAAATACCTTCATAAAAAATATTTATCTCTATCGAAAAAAGTTGTCGCAAAATCGTGGGCAAACAATTTGAGGACAGAAGGTATTTTGCTTAATTGTAATGTTTGTTTTGGGTAAGTTTTCTTGCAAACAACCCCGAGGACACCCTTTAATACAAAACAAACATCCCAGCACAGCCCACAAACGACTCTGTATATACATAAATCACTCCAAATCCTTTAACAGATTTTTGAGTTTCCATTTTTGCATGAACACTTTATGTTTTCAAATCGGATTGTTTCACAAACACATAATAGTTTTGTTAATTAATAAAAGGGTGTTTTGTAACATCAGAAAAGGCTACCGCTCAAAGCTTTTTCAGATGTCGAAAGCTAGCGAAAACATGTTTTAAGCATTTGTAGAAGAAGAAGGATACAAATAAATTAAATAATTTAATTAATATTATAAATAATTGTAATAGAAATGATGTAGCAAAATATTGTTTACTAACTTAGATTACTTTACTCACTTTTATATTTACAATAGTAATAATTATAAAACATATAATTACTAAGGAATGAAATATTTTGGCTTCAATCCACCACAGACACCTACGATTATGCAGTAACTTTAAATTTTGGGCTAAAGCCTCCGAAAATTTAGATATACCTAACATATGTGTTCAAAAACGTTTTAAAATTTAATTTTTCATTATTTTCTGTTTTGATTTATTGTACATCATTAGAACACTTCAGTAGCTTTAGTCATCTCAATGCCCGATGTAGCAGCGGCAGCGCTAGTGCCGAAATTGGCTTTTGTGAAAAGGCAGAAACGAGTATGTCCTTGTAGTACATAATTGTCTTGTTCAAGCATTTATCTCGACATTTTCCTCAACTCCCTTCCCATAGTTATGTAGGTGATGGCTTCTTAGATACCAATTCCAACAAAAACACATTGGAACCCCCTTCAATTTATTTGCACATTCAAAATTAATTCTAAATTCAAATATCCAACTGCTGTCGGGAACGAAGCTAAACTCAAACAATTACAAGAAAACTTTAATGTAATGCCAAAAAATAGCTACTTTGTTCATATATATATTAATGCAAAAAAATGGGTAATAAAAGACATATTAATCCTTTTTATAATTTTTTATGCCACATATTCGTAGAAAAATGTTTATTGTATCTTTCCCATTATCCACATCCACCTATGTATTTATTTGTTTTTATCCCTGAGCACATTAGAAAGGACAACTTTAAAACATGTTTTCATAATTTTCGATTATTGCTCGTTAGTTTGTTTGCAGTACAATCATATCAATTTTCTATGTTTTCCTCCTTCCATCCCCTTTCTTTTCACACTTCTAGATCGCCGCCGAACACCATTCTGCGCACATTACTGCCCACGGCCCCTGGGATGGTCGAGCCATTGGCGCATCTGCTGAAGTTAACGAACCCGCATACCAACCAAGCGAGGAGGCACAAATCTGGGCTTACAAAGCTTATGTTTAAAATGTTTGCTTCAACTGGCATAAGTACCTATACCTATATACATCCGTATGTACCAGAAATCTGACTAAAAATATAAAAATAACAAATCCTTACACAAAAAGAAAAAAAATACGAAGATGAACGTACTTAGCGAAGCCAAAGTTAACCATGGCAAGACTATATGCCACTGCAGCGTAACAACGGAAAATCGGCCCGTGTAAAGTTCGCCTTAAAGAATGGCACTAGAAAATATTTGAACTTGAAATTGAACAAACAATAGCAAGCATAGAGCAGTTATTTATGTGACGGAATTTTTACACTTCTATGTTAATTGTTCTCGGAAGAGTTGGGAATTCCTCCACGTCATTACTGCCTACCGCACGCCGTGCCGTTTGAGTGTTCTGCGTGCAAAAGCAAACGGGATCCAAAGACGAAAGCCAGCAACAACTTAACAACAACAACTGAATACAGCTACAAACTCTACCATATTTACCATTTAAGCACAATTTCTTTAATTGTTAGTAATTTATTTATTTATTTATAACATTATTTATTGTAAAATACATAAAGGAAATTCACCTTTTTGTATTTTAAAAAGTACAGAAGATTGTAAAAGAAATCCAACCAAAATGCAAATGAAAACTTGAAAAGATTTTTTATCGAAAAATTACGCAAGTCCTGTAGTTATCATTTCGTATGAAAATTCACTTTACATTGGGTCGCAGCACCCGAGGCAGACGACCGTAAAATGGAATGGTCGCGCAGTTGAGGCTTGGTATATGCCAGTAAGTAATGATTTTATTGTGGCCGTTGCACATAAATAAATCATAAATAATTTTCAAATCAAATGAATGGAGCTAGTGGGATGCAACAATCATGCTTAGATGGAAAGTGAGAATAAGTAAAAAATACAAAATGAACATTGTTTGCAATTAGGGTGATCACGCGTCTCAAATGAGGTCATTTAACTCATTTTCCCGCCTATGGGAATGTATAATTAATTAAAATCCTGTTGTCCATTTTTTTTTTTTTTTGTTTTGTCGCTTGAGTGATTTTGCGCAATTTAACGTTCGATAAATAATGCATCAAATAATTTTTTTTTACCATACAACAGACAAACAAAATTTGCGCTCAAACCCCGGCAATAAATATGCAAAGGCAAGTCGAAATTTTACTTGTGATTACAATTTCATCAGCTGCCTTTTTCAGCTTTTGGCATTTTTTTTATTTGGTTTAATTATTTTAATTTTTTTTAATATTTTTTTATTTTTATTTTTTTTGTTATAAATCTTTTCTTTTATTTTTACATTCATCGCACGCGCATTTCATTAAATTACGATATGTATGAAGCTATTCAAAAAATTTCACTTATGCATTTGAAATTAATGCACGTTTCTCACTCATATGCACAAAGGCAAACACACAACGAGACATGTAAATTGAAAAGTGCGATCGCTTACTCGCTTCCAAGTACGTTTCCACGCCTTCCTCCAAATTACTATTGCACCCACAACATTCCATATGCCCGATAAGAAATATTTATGTATATATATACATACTTTATAGGTATATGAAAATATAAGCTGTTTAAAATTAACTCAAAAATCAATTTAATACAATAGACTCATTCGCGTTCTAATTAGCCAATTGCAGCTCAATGCGATTATCGATTTTAGTTTCGCTTTTGAATTAAATTGTCAAATTGATTAGCGCTTTCATTTTATGTCTGCCTTTATGTGCAATTAACGTAGTCAATTTAATACTTATTCGTTGCCAAATTCCTAAAAAGCTCTGGTTTGCCTCAACTGAAGACTAATAAAATCTAACTTAACAATTAAAACAGAATTTAATCAGGCGATTTTTTTCATCACTTACTTCTATTAATATCTTTTACTATTTTTTTTTTTTCTTACAACTATTCTGTTTCCTACCTTCAACTGTTCTCCTATGTGCATGTTTCGATAACTTCCACTATTAATTTTTTTTTTTACCTTTCATTTCAATTCACTTCTTCAGCGGACGAATTCTTAATGGCGTCGTTTGTGGTATGCGACTTCAGCTTTTTTTTTGTGCTTGAATTAATTCGCTTTGTTTTTTACGCATTCATATTTATAATTTTTTCCACATGAATTTTAGTATTTAAATTGTTTGTGATAACGGTTGAATGGAGGCTTATTAGCATAGAAAGGTGCAAGTCTAAATTTTTACATTATTCTTTAACAACAAACAAGAAAAAACGTTAACTTGCACCGAAGCTACTTGTATAACACCTTTCACAAATACAAAAGGTTCCTTAGAAGAACTTGATTCCGATCATTTAGCTTGCATGACAGCAATATGCTATAGTGATTTGATCTGAAGAATTTCTTCGGAGATTCCATTACTGCTTTAGATAATGATCCGTTCCAAATTTCGTGAAGATATCTTCGCAAATGAAAAAGATTTCCATGCAAGCACTTGATTCCGATCGTTCAGTTTGTATGGCAGCCATATACTATAGTGATCCGATATCGCCCATTCCGACAAATGAGCAGCTTCTGGGTGAGAAAAGGTTATTTTGATAATTATTGTATAGCTCGTCATCAATTATTTTCGTTATTCAAGCAGACTTTATACCCTTAATACTAAAGGTATCGGTCAATGTATGAGTTATCTTTACAAAATTGTGTGCAGACATGTTGTCGAGAGTACTTTAGTAATGCTAGAGTTTAATGCAATCAATCAAGACCTTCTTCTAGCTTAAAAATACCCGATGTAATGGTTTCCGAAGTTTCACCTAACCTTATTATACAAGGTTCCAAAGTAAAGAGTAAAAAAGTAACAAAGAAAACTCTAGTGGCGCCATCTATATGTCGATTTATAGACTTCCAGTAAAAATTTCATGACATTTCAACTATTGGAAGTGAAGTTATTGCGTTTTAAGTGTCAGTGTATTTTTGTCGTCGGTGCAAAAATGAGCTTCGAACAAAGAGCCAACATTAAATTTTGTTTTAAAATTGGTAAAACTTTTACCGAAACGTTTCAATTGATGAAGCAAGTTTATGGCGATGATTGCCTATCCCGTAGCAGAGTGCACGAGTGGTCTCAACGTTTTCAAAGTGGTCGTGCGGACATAAATGAGGACGAGGGAAGATGGAAGTTGGCGTTTGTTGCACGATAATGCGCCGTCTCATCGATCGACGCTTGTGCCCGATTATTTGACCAAAAATCACATTTTAACAATCAACCACTCCCCATATTCACCTCATATGGCACCGACTTCTACCTCTTCGGAAAATGCATTTGCCGATGAAAGGAAAGCGTTATGCAGTGGAGGCCATTCAAAAGGCTTGCACCGGCATACTGGCGGCCATACCGGGCAACGAGCTAAAACACTCGTTTGAAATGCTTTTAGACCGTGCAAAAAAATGTATTAAAGCAGAAGGAGACTATTTTGAATAATATTAATTGATTTTGCCGATAAAACCATTTGTTCTGTCCTTTTTTTTAAAAGTCCTGTTTACTTTGGAACGCACCTTGTATGAAGCTGTAATATTGGTCAAGTAAAAAGTTCGTTCGGGTTTTATCTACGAGATTTCGTTATTGTCATAGTTCTATTGTTACGTGTCACATCATGTCATACTATACGGTGCTTAAAACGTGTTTATTCGCGCTAAAAGTTTGTCTTTGACAGTTCTTCGATTGATTGACTCCGTACGTTGTAAGCGCTCGTCAAAGATGGACACCAGGAAAGAGAAAATTCGCTATATTTTACAATTTTTCTTCGATCAAGGCGAAAAAGCAGCCAAGGCGGCTGAAAAAATTAATTTAGTTTATGAGCCCGATACTGTAAACGAACGTGTAGCACAAAAGTGATTTGCTAGGTTCCGTTCCGGTAATTTCGATGTCATAGATGCACCACGCGTCGGGAGGCATTTCGTCGAAAATTGCGATAAAATCATGGAAATAGTGGAGACAGACCGTCACGTGAGCACTTATTTAATTTCTGAGGAACTAAAAATAAGCCAGAAAACCGTTTGGAAACATTTGCATAACCTTGAATTCAAAAAGAAGCTCGGTGTTTGGTTGCCACAGGATCTAACGCAAAAAAACATGATGAACCGAACTTCCATCTGCGAATCTCTGCTGAATCGCAACCAAATCGACCCGTTTCTGAAGCGGATTGTGACTGGCGATGTAAAATGGGTCACTTACGACAACATCGGGCGCAAACGGTCGTGGTCAAAGCTCGGGGAAGCGGCCCAGACGGTGGCCAAGACTGGATTGACGGCCAGGAAGGTTTTGCTGTGTGTTTGGACTGGCAAGGAATTATCTACTACAAGCTGCTCCCCTATAGCTAAACGCTCAATTAAGCCCTCTACTGCCAACAACTGGACCGCTTGAATGCAGCACTCATCCAGAAGAGGCCATCTTTAATCAACAGAGGCCGAATTGTGTTCCATCAGGACAACGCCAGGTCACACACAGTCTTTGGTGACTCGCCAGAAGCTCCGAGAGCTCAGATGGGAGGTTCTAATGCACCCACCTTATAGTCCGGGCCTGGCACCAAGTGATTACTATCTTTTCCTGTCCATAGCGAACGCGCTTAATGGTAAGAAGTTGACCTCAAGAGATGCCTGTGAAAATTTGCTCTCCGAGTTTTTTGGCAATAGGGACGCAGTCTTCTACGAGAGGGGCATCTCGTTGGCAACAAGTTTACGAACAAAACGGCGCATATTTGACTTAAATCGGACAAATGTACATAAAGTTATCATCTTTTGAAAAAATCAATAAAAAACGAACGTAACGAATGTAATTCATTCACAACTTTGTCGAATAAGGCATATGGAATTTTCACGCAACACTTTTTAATATAAAGTTTTGTCAACACCTAATAATATTTCGCCTGCTTTGTTTCTTGCAAATTGCGAGAGGATGAAAAGTTCGCTTCCTTACTTGTTTCAGCACCTCCGAAAAGCAGACCGATTTTTTCCAGAAGTTTCTTCAGGCAAGATTACCCATGTTGGGTGAGAACTATTAGAAAACACTTTTCTATTTATAATTTAAATTTAAAGTTTGTTTGTTTCTTGAATTGCCATTTAGAGTGATGTCTTTTTGTCCAGTGGTGGAATTAAAATACTAATACCTCGTCTCATTATTCATATAAGTATTTATATGTGTGTATTCGTTTGGATATCTCCACATTGGTAGGAATAGAATAGAATATTGAAGGAACATATTTCATTGAAATATTAGATTTTTATTTTACACAAACATTTATGTATTGTACATATGTAAACTTTTTTTATTTTCTTTTACAAAAATTCAGTATCTAATTTGAATTTATTTCGAAGTCCTAACATTTGGCTGAGAGCGCAGATAATAATGGCGAAAACATAATCTAGCCGTTTGTATGCTATTATATATTGCAGTACGGCAGACAACAAAAGTGTGTCCATTTACTGTTATAAATTTACGGTTACACGTGCTTTTACTTAAATTCGAACAGTTATAAAATACATATTTATTTGTAGGCGTTTCTCCTTCTTTGCATTAGCAATTACTTAATTTCTTCGCTAATTTTACTCCCAATGTTGCCAGTGACGGACTGCTGATAATTATGTTATACTCAATTATGTCAGAACTCAAATTTGGCACAACGAATCTAATTCAAGAGGGGCACTTATCACCAAAATTTGCACACAACAAATATTTTTAGCTCTCTTACG